GTGCATGCGTGCATGCATGATGGTGGGTGTGTAGTGCGTGTGCGAGGGGCGGAGGGAGAGAGGGATGGGGAAGGGGTGGGTCCATTTCCTCTTGTGAGCAGTTTTCGAGCCCCATTACCCCATCTTGTGATTGCATCGGCTGTCCGGAGTGGTAAGCATTGATGGAGAGAGAGAGAGAGAGAGAGAGAGAGAGAGAGAGAGAGAGAGAGAGAGAGAGAGAGAGAGAGAGAGAGAGAGAGATTGGAAAAAATGGATGCAAAACTTGGGAGGCTTGTGGCGAAATACGTGTGTGGTTAAAAAAAAAAGAAACGAAAAGAAATACGTGTCTGAAAATAAGGTAAAAAAGAAAAGTGCAGTGATCCAGTGTGTGCATTGTGGCATGCTTGTCATCCAGGTGCCATTTTTGGATTCCGATGACCAGAAGCAGGTGTATCCCGACCTACTGACCTTCGACAGACCGGTGGAGCAGGAAGCGTACATAAGGCACTGGGTTCAGGAAAGACTCAACATGATGGTAAGTTTAGGAAGTTATGGAGCCCCCTCCGCTAAAGCCCCCATCTCCACCCCCTCCCCCCCAAAACCGACCCCCACCCCCAACCCCTCCCCCAAACCCCCCACCTCCACCCCAAACCCAAACCCAAACCCAAACCCATTTTTGGCGGGCGCTTATTTTTAGACAGTTCAGGCGCCCTCTCCTCCTGCTGACATCTGACAAACAAGGACGTGGAGTGGGCTTTTTTTTTTTTTTTTTTTTATGGACGTCGAAGCTGCACGTCGCATCTAACGGATCGTACGGAACTATAGTCACGGCATGGAGTGGGCTTGCATGCATGCATGGGACAGAAAGAGGGTAAGAACGAAAAATAGAAGCAGCGTCGGAGGGTAAGAACGAAAAATAGATACCAGACAAAAGAAAGAAAGCGAAAGAGAAAGAAAAGAAAGAAAGGAGGAAATAGGAGGAAAGAGAGGTGGAAGAGAGAAGGGAAAAAAAAAAAAGAAAGGAAGAAAGAAAAAAAGAAAAGGAAAAAAAAAGAGAGAAGGAAATCTGGAAAGAGAAACAGAGGTCTGAGGTCCCTTCTGAGCTTGTAAGGGCACTGAGACTCAGCAGCAGAACGCATAAGGCTATCAGAAAGCTATGTCATTGAATCTAAAAAGGGATGCCAGACATGATTTTCTTCCTTCGTCATATGCAGAGATGCTAGAATTACTAGAATTTTATTTATTATTATTTCCTTTTTTGGAAAGGACGCTGGACCTGGTTTCCAGCCAGTTTTTTTCTCTCTCTTCTTCTGAGGACACTGGAACTTCTTTCCAGTCTGATACCCAAGATAGGATGCTGGAGTAGACCTGTTTTTCAGCAATCCGGTGGGTTGATTTTTTTTTTTTTTTTTTTCCCAATAAAAATTTATAATCATCAGGGCCCAGTGCCCAAGGCAATATACATAAGTAACAAAAGTTTCAGATTCAGGGGCCGCAAGGTCTCCACAGCTTCTCTGTGAGGTGGAGCCCCTCCCCTGTATCCAGAGATGAGTATAAGCCTCGAGGCAAAAACAAGAAAAACAAAGAAAGATTCTGCAAAGGGGTACACATGCCTACAAAAACTACTAATAATAACAACTAAAAAACAAACGTTTTCTAAAAAAAAAAAGATCACAGTTGCTTAAAAAGAAACAATGTCTGTAAATTTGTACCTCATCACTTACTATGCCTGCAAGAAAGGCCCAAAAAGGAAATCTCCTGTACGTGTATCTATAGTGACAAGAGAAGGGCAGGAGGCCCAATGCTTTTGGAACCAGGAAACGCCTGCTGGCAAACTCGTCGGTTTTCCCAGTCTCTGTTTCCAGTCCAGATAAATGATATGGCGCAGATCTCTTTTGATTCTGTGAAGCATCTGTTGTGTCGAAGGCAATTCCTTGGACAGCACCACATCATTTCTTTGTCTCCATAAATGCCAGAGCAGTGTTGCTCTAAGGGATTCATAGACATATGCCTGGGGCCTCGAAAGCTGCAGCACTATTGTACCCAGTAATATGGATACATTTGACCAAGTAACTCCCCATTGCTGTGGCACTGGCGAATTCTCCCTTATATATACCCAGATATCTTTAGCATTTTTGCATGAAATCCAAATGTGTTGCTGATCCTCCATGAGGTGGGGGATTAGGCAAGCTTTGCAGAAAGGTGTACCCTGTTTTCGACGACGATACAGAAAGGCAGCAGTAGGGATAGCACTTTGCACTATTTGCCATAGCAGGCTGGCATGCTTTGCCAGTCGCAGCGAGGGGAGCAATCGCCAAAAAATCGTTAGTTGGTCGGTGTTTATATTGATTCCAAGAACACCATTTTTTAACTATGCTCCAATCCACGTCCACATCCGGTAGAAGCATCAAGTAAGCGAGTTTAGCAGAGTGTTGTGTTAGAGATAAAGAATGGACAAACAGGACTGGGTACTGCTTTATCCAGATCCTCCTCAGCTCCCATAGCTTCCTCCTTAATATCAATGACTGCTGTCTGCGTTTTGGAACAGAAACAATCACTCAGTAGCACTTTTTTTTGCCATATAGAACTCAAACTGCTTCCAAGGATCTGATGCTGGACCCTAGGGACTGGTATTGGGAAGACCCGCGAAAGCCGGACACGGCGGGTTGAATTGTGAGGTCCGCGGCCTCTGTTCTTGTCCTTTTAATACCAAGCAAAGTTCAAAAAAAAAAAAAGAGAATTTCAAAGGGAAAGAACTTCAAAGAAGGCAGTTTGATAATCTAGTGAATGATTCCGTTTTTTGTTTTTCTATATTCTAATAACTGATATGAACACTGCAACAAAACAGTTTGTCCCAGCCCCTCGTTTGTTGTTTTTCGTCTTTCGTTTTTCTATATTCTAATGACCGTACGTTGTATTCGGGTGAAGAGGGTAGTTCAACATTGAGTTCTCTATCAGGTGTGGCGTGACGCAACTGCTGAGATGCATCTCGCTGACTTCCATCCAGCGGTTCATTTTGTAGATGGAAATATAATTTCGTTTTTCTTTGCTTTAGTCTGCAGAAAAAAAGGGGAAAAAATGATTCCCCCCTCTACCTTAGCCCATTTCCCATTGAGCTATGGGTAGCTAGCGCAAGGGACACCTCGTCTTGGGAGGACGCTCTGACAGACAAGGGAGTGCACTCTGACAGACATGGGAGGACAATCTCACAGGGGTGGGAAGAGACTTGGACAGACTTGGGAGGCACTCGTTGCTTTTATTTGGGTGTTCAATGCACATAGCCAGGAAGACCGTCTAGGTTCGTTCCACGCTGTAGTGAGGTCCTGTCTCCTACTTCACGCAGTGCACGGAGAGTTCCGTATACTTAGGGGAGAGTTCTGTATACTTGGGAGAGTTTCGCTCAATCCTTTTTATTTAAAAAAGATAAGATTGCCCCATTTTCTTTCTCCATTTTACATTAAATTTTGAGAAAATACGGAAAAAAGGGCGCCCTTAGACACTCCTTTTGAAATCCTCGAGCAATAGGAAAAATTCCTAATGGTTCAAAAGGAAATTTGGGCCGTCGTTCCACCTGTCCTCGGGGACGTCACCTGAGGACATTCCCTAAGAGCGATGCCAGAAAAGAAAAAAGAAAAGAAACAGAAAAAACAGTTGTGCTTCAGGCCTTCAGCCAATAGGATGCCGCGACGATCCAGATTCTCGGCTGTAACGTCTCTCTACGCATGTGCCCTCTCCTCTCCGTGAAACGTGGATTCCTTGTGCCTAAGGGACCTCGCTCACGAGAGGTCCCTTGGGTAATAGGAAGAAATGGCTGGGGAAAGTCCTATTGCCCGATGAATCTCCTTAGGAGTGTTTTCACTTTTGTTTTTCGATTGCATCCCCAAGGATAGGTGGAACAAACAATTCCTTGGCAATGCAGATTTTGCATCCCAGAGGATTGTCTAAGGAGCCCCCAAAGCCTGTAGCAGCATTTGATTCTCTTTTTTTTTTCTTTTTTTTTTTTGCACTCGTTTTGAATTTTTAATTTGCAATAACTGTGTCACACCGTTGAGCTAGCTCAACTCAAGGGTGTAAGTGGGACATGGCCCCCAGTCTATTTGTGGGGCGCCTCACCCTCACGTGCTCGGAACCGTACTCAGCGTCCCTTATCAGAAAAAAAAACATACTCAGCATCTCTTATCAGAAAAAAAAACATACACAGGGCATACTCACACGAGCACTTTTTAAAATGCATCTGACCTCAGTTGTGGGGAAAGTCTTAGAAGGGTTTGTTAGGGATCCTGAGGGTTGTGAGCTCTGTGGCAGCCTATTGCATCATTAGTTCTTAATAGGTCACTAGATATTCATGATCCTCTCCATGCTTTCTGAATCACATCGTGTTCACAGACTGTTCTCAGCCGAAGCCAGGTAATGGCCCGGGTATCTCAAATAATCTCAAATGTTCTCAATGATCTGTACAATTCGATATGGGACGCTGGGCCCGGTTCCCAGCACGTGCTGCTCCCCAAGAATAGACTGGCGCACTTGTTTTAAACGGTGAGGGTGAGGTATTGAGAGAGAAAGCCGCGTTATAAGCTGGGGACATGGAAAAGGGTGAACAAAAGATAAGTCAGGTGGAAAACCGTGAAAAGGGTGAACATCGTGGAGAAGATCATCGGCAAGGTCAGCGAGAGAGAGAGAGAGAGAGAGAGAGAGAGAGAGAGAGAGAGAGAGAGAGAGAGAGAGAGAGAGAGAGAGAGAGAGAGAGAGAGAGAGAGGGTGCCTCAATGTTAGAGAAGAGGAGGGTTTCACCACCCAGGCGTACAATAGGAATTTTCTGACGGCTTCCCTGCTCTGCACCTACGAGTGGCAGAGAGATTGGGCTCTAGAACAATGAGATCTTCCCGAAGAAGCGAAGTGACAACTACAATGATCCTACTTCATTTCATCTGCCAGTTTGTTCCCAGGATTTACACACAGGCTAGCGTAGAACTAAGTATCTGGCACCTGAATAGGTGAAAAGGTCGTCTGGCGCCTGAACAGGTGATTCAGAAGAGGACTATGTGGTCTATCCGAGCTTGATGTCCTACGTTTATCCATCTTTGATCTAATTCTAAATCCGACGTAGTTCTCTATATTTGTGTGCACAAGTTTGGGCTCTTATTTGCTAGGCTGTTTTCCCGGGCGCCCGGGCACCCAACTTCTGCCCGGGTACACGCCCGGGTGCCCGGCCGGGCATGACCCCCGGGCAGGGTTCCGGGCAGCCCCAGCGCCAAAAAAAAAAAAAAAAAA